GAACTTTCTGGGAGAGGACACCTCCCCTCCACTTGCAAGAAGACTGATTCAGACAGCTTGGAAGAAAAATAAAGTTTACTGGACCCAACATCCACTTTGCTGCTTCAGGTAGGAAACCACTTAAAAGTGAAAGAGTTCCACCTTCTCCAGTGGACACATCCTGGCTGGGAAAGAGCTGCTGGAAGGGCTGAGGGCTGGGCACGAGGGGAGCACACCTGAGACCACATGGACAAAACGGCCAGTGGCAAAGACTGCACCTGCTGCTCCTCACACCCCTCCATGTGCACCCAGAAATCCTGCCTCTGTTCAGAGAAATCCAAAAATAGCCATCCCTAAGGTACATGACTAGGGAACATCAGGGACCCCTGTGTGCCATGGGAAGACTCTGCCAAGGATGGAATCACTCCCCAGCTGCCTGTCACCTAAAGGATCCCTGCCTGTACCCTAAAGGAGTCCTGGATGTCCCCTGAAGCAGCCCACTCCATGTTTCTGGAGCAGTTGGTGAGCATGGCTGGCAAAGCAGCTCCCTCACTCAGAGGAAACATGAGAGCTTGAATTATGTGCATTTATTATTCTTGTCTCTGGTGTTTCTCTGCAGTCACATTTTACTTCAGGAAGCACACTATTTTTTGTTACCCTAGACTACAATTAGCTACAAAAAAATGACATTTTTTAATCTCATCTTTTCTGTCATGTCTTAACCTCCTTAATACTCATGTAATTCTTATCTCCCTCCTGCACTTTGATTAACTTGTCTGGCACTGCAGCAGCCACAGAGAATCCCCAGCCTTTTCCCTGTCCTGCAAACAGCACCTGGAGCTCTGACACTGGGGCTGCCCTGTGAGCCCAGCAAGCCACCCTGAGATGGGGGCCCTCCACAAAGGGACAGATTTCAGTGCCATCACAAAGTGGTGCTGATCCTCTCTACCTCAGAGAAAAGACAAGCACATGCTGATGAGCAGAAGCAGTGCTGCTACACCAGGCTCCTGTTATTAGTCAATCTAGCAATCAAAAAGCTCATGGAGCTCTGCTTGCCCTCTCCCTGAACAAACCAGAGTTCCAGCTCTGTGATTTGAGGGATCACATCATGATCTTGCAGGTTCAGGCTGATGGAGGTCAAACCACTTTTTTCACAGAAAAAGAATGTTAAGATCTGTAACCTTAGAGGGTTTGGGTTCTTAAAAAAAACTTTGGTGGAATGTGGCATAATGACTTCCAGTGATCCTGGTCTTGAAATCAAATTCAATATAAAAATAATTTGCATGTCTGGTTGTGTTTTTTTTCTAATACCAATGTAGTCAACAATGAGAGAAATGATCCAGGCAAGCAATAGGTTAATTTGAGACTAAAAGAAGCATTTTATGGATTTCTGTAGGTGAGGCTGCACACAGGGTGAAATTCAGTAACTGCAGGTGCAGAGGGAGACAGTAAATGGTGTGTACTGCTGGCTGCAGGAGCCATGCCCTCACATCACAGCAGCCCTAAAAGGTTTGGGTTGGAGGGAACCATTAAAGGTCATCTAGTCCAGCCCCCCTGCCACGGGCAGGGACAAATGCACATGTACCCAAAAACACTTTCAGAGTGGAAATGAATTAGAACTGGGTGAATTAGTCTCTGTGAATAATTTAGCAGCTACATCTTACATTAATTGTTGAATAATTTATTCACAAATACATTTTCTCAATTATATGACCTCTGCTGCGAAGTAATGAATGTTATTTGGCACATAATTTACTGTAGAATATTTATATGAACACATTAATTCTGAATAAATTTCACTATTACCTCATTACTTCCAAATTCACTGTTTGAGTGATCTCAGCATAGACAGCAGCCATCTTTTGCAAGTAACTTCTATTGCCTGGTCTGGTTCATCCTAATTTGAATGTCTCAGCACATACTCCAAAATATTTCAGCTTGTTCTGGACACATTCCTTCTGGATAAAGTCTGGAGAGCTCCTGGAATAATACAATGGTGTGCAGGCAGGTGCAGATACAGGTGGACAGACCAGGGGGGAGCAGCAAACCTGGGAATTATTCAAACAGAGGTTTTGGGGGGTTTTTGAAATGTATCTGCAAGTACTCAAAGTCTCACTGAAATTTGCAAGGACTAAACACATAATTCCAAGGCTCTTAAGAAAACCACAGCCTTTGCTGAAATACGTTTTCTCTCTGTAGTACAATGATTTAAACTACTCCTTATTTAAGCACCAGGGCAGCCGACTGGGAACAGCTGGAGTCAGAGTCCAAAAAATGGAAAATACCCAGGCTGCTTTACAGACATCATGTACCTTGGGCCTTTAGATGGGAAACTGGCCTGAAATATATGTAATCAACACAGCCTCAGGAGCCCTTCTGAAAACAATGTTTGCTCTCTCTTCTTGTGTCACAGACATATTTTCTGAAAAATACTTTCAGTAGGATTTTTCTCCTGAGAAGCTGAGAGGCCTCAGAAACTAAATGTAACCAATGATTATCTGCTGCTGTGGAATGCAGCAGGTGCATCTTTGATTGGTCCATGTGAGCTGCTTCTACTTGATGATCAATCACAAGTCCAGCTGTGTTGGGACTCTGGTCAGTCACAAGATTTTATTATTTATTCCATTCCTTTCCTTTCTTTGCTAGCCTTCTGATGAAATCCTTTCTTCTATTCTTTTAGTATAGTTTTAATATATAATTTTCTTTTAATATAATATATATAATAAAATAATAAATCAGCCTTTCTGAAACATGGAGTCAAGATTGTCATCTCTTCCTTCATCCTGGGATCCTTGTGAACACCACAACATTCTTGGACATGAGTAAAATCCCAACACACTGTCAAAGGGTTGTGTTGGATTTAACCCTTCCTTCAGGCCAGGCACAGCAATAGAGAAGCTGCAAGGTTCTGCTCTGCACCTGCAAGTGCAGTGGAGGAGCATTAAAACACCTGGACAGTACTTGAAAGGATGTTTGGTTCATTGATTTATGGCAAACATATCAAACTTAATTTCTTCTAACCATGCTGTCATGGCTTTTAGTCCAGTAATTCTCCCAGCTAAGTGTGCCAGAAGAACATAGACACACAAGACACTCTGGCTGGAGGACTCCAAAAGAGTTTTTTGCTTCAATTTCCAGAAAAAATCAGTGCAGCAGCTAAGCCAAGTACAAGTTCTGCAGGATTTCATCACCCTTTACTTGCCATTTTTAATGAAAAGCTGACATCTTTTCAGAAAAAAATTACTGCTGAATTTGCTTAACCAAATTGACAGTTAAAAGCAAGAGTCCCCTGCTATTTTCAATCACACTGACAGCTGATTTTTTTTTCTAGAAGGGGATAGCATATCTGACATAAATATTTAACAAAAAATTCCCTATAAACATGAAGACTGTTTTGAGCTTCTTCTATTTTTAACCAAACAAACTACCTGTTGGGCTGTCACTGGGGGACTTGTGATTTCCCATGTTCACAAATCAATCACCCATCTGGGACAAAGAATATAAGCAAAGGGATTCACAACCTTCTGAGTCCCTTTTCAGCAGCATTAGGTGTGGATATTATGGAGCTCATGTGTGTGTGAAGCAACCTACTTGATGGCCTGTTGTTCTCTGTCGGGGAAAGAAACACAGGGAAATCTTGTGCCTGGGTTCTCTGCTGTTCTCTGTAGGGGAAGGAAACACAGGGAAATCTTGTGCCTGGATTCTCTGCTGTTCTCTGTAGGGGTAGGAAACACAGGGAAATCTTGTGCCTGGATTCTCTGCTGTTCTCTGTAGGGGAAGGAAACACAGGGAAATCCTGTTCCAGCACTGCAGGTTGGAACACCTCAGATTGCACCTCAGGTAATGAGGATAAAGAAGAGAAACAGCACTGTGTACATTTGGGATGATTTCATCTCCTTCATCCAGAGAGTAAATGTTGACCGAGACAAGACCTTTATCCAGCAGGGATCATATGTATTCTCTGCCTTTCTTGTAGGTTTTGCATGCTGTGTCCTGAACACAGAAAACCAATCTTTTCTTCCCTGGATTTTGAGCTTCTCTTGCCTTGAGTTTGAATAGAAACAACAGCCAAGACTGCTTAGGAACTGAAGAGCTTCTCCTGCCTTATTTCAATTTATTATTTTGTTTGTTTTCCAAATGTAACTGATTAAAATTATTTTTCACTTTCCTGTGGCAACCTTTTGATGAATCTGGAGAAGGTTTGCTCACACAATGTCTAGAGCCACAGAAGAGAAAGTGACCCATAACAGCTGTGGACTCTCTGTGCAGTTCAGGCTAAATGATTTCTCTTTTGTGTGAATCCCCTCCTATTCTAATGCAATTCATTCAATTGTATTGTTCATACAATTTATTCAAATACATAAGGAAAAGAAAAGATTATCTGTCCCATGTACACTCACAGATGCTCTTGGATGCAAGAGATGATTACCAGGTTTCAGCCAGCCTGAACACAGACACCAGGCTGAAAAATTGGGGAGTCACCTCCAGTACCATCCCTTATCCATAGCACAGGGTGTGCAATTAGATGACAGATCTTGATCTTCACACAACAGGAGTCAGATGTATTTTTGATTCATTTTCTGTCTCATGCATTGTGTTTCTAGTATTTGTTACTTTGTTTTAATGCCTCATGTCTGTAATTCCTTTCTAAACAGTTTATCCTGTAACTGATCTGCAGCTGGAGAAAACTGAGGAGACTGGGAAATTTGCCACTTTCATTTTACACCTGCTTGGTTACACCTACAGGGTGCTCCCTTTTCATGCTCATTTTCTTCATGTCTCTTTCAATTATAGGCAATCTTCTTCAAAATATCATCTCTAAGTAGCTTCCCAAGGAGAGACTAGCTTCTTTTTCTTCCTTCCATTCACATCTCCAAAAGTTAGCATTAATAGTGTCCCTTGAGATACTTTAGGATTACCTTACCCCACTATTTTCATCTATTTTCTCTAATTCTTACTCCCTGTGTTTGGCTTCTGTGGCATTCCCCAGAAAACATTTTTTTTCTGAATTATAATAAAGATGGCTCTGATAGAAAATTTGCACCAGTGCAAAGACCACGAAGGAAGTGGAACTTTAAATATATGTAGATCTTGAGACACTCCACTAAAAAGGGACACAATTCACTGGCAATTCATTTCTTACAGTTGTTTAGTTCCATTTGCTCCCAGTCATGGCTACAAATAATAGTGATCTCAGTTCTGGATCATTTAAAAGAACTCATCACCTTTCCCACAGTGGAACGTGACATCTGCTTTTTCACCAAATTCTGGGCTAGGAGCATCATTTAGTATACAGTCAGAATAACTCAGCCCTTATTTTTACTGTCTGGGTCTTTTTTAGTTTTGGTTTCTGAAGACCCTGAGGACAAATCCAAGCAGCTTCCTGGGAAGGTCAGGATGCCCTTGGTCTCCACTGGATTGATGCAGGAGGCTTCAAAGCACTCAGCACCTATTTTTCCTTCCCATATTTGTCTACATCCTTCCTTGTTCTCCTATAATTCTATCACCTGAGATGGTTTTGACATGCTCAATCTGATTTAGTCTCCTTGTATTTCCCCAGGGACTTGAATTGTTCTTCACACCCCATTTAGTTTTCCTTTAGAGAGAACACCATTTGGTGTAAATGTATTGTCCCCAGCCTCAGGAACAGGAAGAGGAGTAGGGAGCAATTCCAAGGCTGCTCAAATACTTTGGCCCTTTTTCTGCTCCCTTCCATCCATGCAGGATCCCCCACTAGACTGAGAGAGTTTTGATGGAGCAGCTTTTTGATTTGTCTCATTTCATCCATTCTTTGCATTGTCAGCTTGAAAACATGGCCCAGACACAGCTTTTGCCCCTCATGCACAGCAGTGAGATGTCAGGCATTCTTAACCACACAATCTCACACTGCAAAAAAAAAAAAAAAAAAAAAAA